TCAACCTCAAGGATGAACAATGCATTCCAGTGCTGAGCACATCCACCAGTTCCAATAAATATGTGCTGGCACTAGCTGACTCCAACTGAAGAGCCAGGCTAGGGGAGCTGTGCAGTAGGATTGGGTGGTCATCTCTCCCACAGATGGAAGACAGAATAGGTAGCTCTTGAGGGATGGGACATATTTATTGATGTTCTTTCTTTCTTTTGGGGGTAGTGGGGGTGGTTCCCAGGGCTTGGCACAGGCTGGGCAAGTGTTCTTCCCATGAGTGACAGTCCCAGTAGTTTTTAAATGAGCAGATGGGAGGAGTCTAACAAGCAAGCCTCCCCAATCCCTCTAATCCATATTCTTTACCACCCCAATTCTTACTCCCCACCCTCTGCATCAGCAAAACTTAATGAACTCCAACTGAGCTTCGTGCTGGTTCTCTGACTATAGTATACATAGAGATCTGCTCCAAGGAGAGGAGAGAAAACCAAGGTGCCTGCACTAAGTCTCCTAGCCAGTGGCATGGGCTTGCCTTTAAAGAGAGGGAGTCTGTGTTTGCAGTCCCCAAACAGCCCCAGCTTTCTTTTCCCAACCCTTCATTGTGGCCTGCCATCCCTGGGCACCTCATACAGGCTACTGGAGGGGGTAGCAGGAGGCAGCCTCTTGGCCATGGAAAAATGGCGCGAAACAACCCTTTCCTATCAGCACAAGAGGTAGGTTGATAACGATGTTGGGTCCTAGTGTTGGCCACAAGCTTCCCCTCTGTCACCTGACCTCAGTGGCCTCACAGAGCTCTGCTTACTTAGAGGCCTGTTATCCAAAGAGTCGCTATAGAAGAAAGCAGCCTGAGTTGCTTCTCTGCCGGTGTAGTGCTGCCGGGACCAGTGGGGTGGGGACTTTCTGCTGTCCTGCCTGTTTCTCCCCACTCACCAATTCACCAATGCCCATAACCTCCTGCATTTGGCATTAGCATTCATGGTCCTATGAATAGTAATGTCCTTTCTGCTTCCCATTGGCCACCTGTGGCTAATTTCCCAAGAGGCCACTAGTGGTTACCTTGTCCTGTGCCATGGTTTGGTCATGCCTGACTTTGAACCCATGGCAAGAGAGGCTCACATTACATAGACCTGACTAGGACATCTCCAAGATCTTGACAGTGGCATCGCTGATGGGAGTCTCACTTTCTTGCCAGTGCTGATCTCAAACTTCTGGGCTCCCTGTGAACCTGCCTCAGCTTTCAAGCAGTTAGGACTCCAGCAAAGCTGGTGGTCCTTTTAAAGATGAAGAAAGTGAGGCCGGGAAAGCTCAGATAAATTGCTTTGATGATGCATATTTAACTTCTGAGGTGTGTCAGATACTGAGAACATGTCAATGAGTAAGATGGACAATAATCCCTGAAGCTTCCATTGGATGGAGGAAGGAAGAGGAGGTGATCCGTCAACTGTGGGAAGTGGAGTAGGTAGGGATGACATCAAGGTTGCTCTGGGGGATACTGCCGAGGCCCAGCCAATTAATAACCAGGCAGAATCATGTTGGAAAGGTGGAGGGAACAGAACTTCATGTGTGGATCCTAGAGGCAAGAAGTAGATGGAGATGCCCTCAAAATCAGGAGGAGGCACTGAGTGTGAGAGGGACAATAGTCCCCAAAGAGTTTTGCAATTTGTTTAACCTGCTAGGAATGGGGAGTGGCCTTCCTACACAGTTGGAGCTCAGGTGGTAGAACCCGACCAAGCCCCCCATGTCTGCTGTAACATTGCATTATTTTTACATGTGAGCCCCTGTCCATCTCACCAATTTTCAGTAAAGTCTTTTACAAACAAAAGCCTCTGTGCTTATTTCTTTCTACAGGAATGACAGAACTCTGCACTTGTCAATAGACGAGACAGACACCAGCAGCTGGCATGTTTCAGAGCAGGTACACATGGGACAGGTGCACACCAGGGAGGCACACACTAGATGGGGGCATGTGAATAAGGCCCGCCAGCACCAGAAGTCCTATGCTGACATGTTACAGTGTTACTGGTGGGGTACAGTATATGGTCAACATTCCTTAAACACTACAGAGTACCTGTCAGTCAAAGCTGCCTCTGCACCAGAGGCAGAGTTCCATTCCGCATCACTGTGCTAGCCAAGAACAAGGGCATTAGAAACTACCCAGGCTCTGCACTCTTTGGATCGTCTCTCCATTGGAGCCAGCAGGGGGCTCTTTGTTCATATTCTGTGACTACTGTGCTTTTAGAAAGCACAGCCTGTGCACTAATGGACAGAAATGGATTGAGGAATCATTGTATTTGAAGAGAGGTCTGAGGAAAGGGTAATGGATTCAGGCAGGGCCTGAGGCAGGGTGTGAACACTTGCTTAGTATCCCAGGAGCTTGAATTTTAGCCTTTGGCACAAGAAAATGCCTTTCTGATCAGCAAGCTGCCCAGGACCAGCTTATGACCAGAAATCAGAATGGCATGGCTGATAACCCCTTTTGCCCAGCAGCAGCAATCCCTGAACACTAGGATACTGCTCTCAGCACTTTCCATCCTGTGTAGGGGCCCTTCCTCCATGGGAAAACACTATATGACTGGCATTTATGTCACAAGAATGAGATGGATGACATTAAAAGAGTATATTCATGTCCTGTGCCCAATAGGGGCTCCAGTTCTCCCATAAAGTATGAAATACAATGTCTGCACATTTATTAGCAGTAATCGCCTTTTAAAAAATCATTTGACAATTTCATCCATATATGGAATATATTTTGATTTTTAATCAACACAAATTCCACTCCCAATTTCTGAAGAACTGTCCCAATACTCACTTCCCTTCTACACATCCTGTCCCATCTTTAATCTTTTTTTTCTCCAGAAGTCCCATTGCATCATGCTAAAGAGCTCCGAGTACTCGTACTCATTTCCCAACACTGCCGAGCACCGAATCCCCAAAACCACTGCGCTGTGCTAAACTGGACTAGTCTGGGGGTTCCAGAGAGGGCTGCTGCGGAAGGCCCCACTTGTGCCTGCTGCACCCTCTCCCTTTGCTCCTTGTCCTGAGCAGGGGGCCAGGAGGCCTTGCCTGGGTGCCAGCACCTGCCTTTCAGGGGGCACCGTCCTCCTGGGCCAGGCTCAGGGAAGGACACCAGACTCTCAGTGGAGTCAGGAGTTGAGTCGTTACTGAGGGGAGAGTCGGGGCTGAGAAGGGAGGCTGTGGCCAGCCCTGCTGAGATGCGGCGTATTGACAGACAGGAGGAGCAGGGTGTGGTTTGCTCTCGTAGTAAAGGAAATGTTTTGAGGTTAAGGCAAGCAAGCTGCTACTCACAGGGGATGAGGATGGAGACAAGTGACCACTTATGACAGAGACTAGATTGTTGTAGAATATTATTTAACTGGGCAAAGATGTGTTATATTTGTTTATGGTATGTTTGTTTATCTATGGTAGGATGTGTATTTAACTATGTAAAGATGTGCTGCAATTTGTTCATCTTGCCCTCCCTCAGGCACTTGATTGGTCTAATAAGAGGCTGGATGGCGAATAGCTAGGCCGAGAAAGGTTGGCAGGGATGGCGGGCAGAGTAAATGAGGAGGAGGAGAAATCTAGGCTGAAGGGGAATGAAAGAAGAGAGAGGAACACGCTTCTGAGGCAAGAAACCAGGTAGCCTCCAGCAGCCCAGCAAGTAGCAGTGAAAGAAGAGATATCGAAGGAGATAAAACTAAAAAGCCCCAGGACAAAAGAGATAAACAGCAGGTCAATTTAAAAGAGCTAGCCAGGGAGACAATCCCTAAGCTAGGCCAGTCATTTACTAACTGATAAGATGTCTCTGTGTTATGATTTGGGAGCTGGTCGGTGGCCTAAAACAAAATGCCTGGTACACTAGACCCCTCCGTTTTTTTTTTTTTAATCTAGACACCGTGGTTAGTGGTCACTCAGAATAAAATCACATTCCCCAGCCTTCATTGTAGCTGAATGTGACTGTTTGGCCAATGAAGATAAGCAGCCACAGAATTTCCAGGGGTGACTGGAAAGGAAAGGGTGTGGCCTTCATTCTTTCTAAGGAGTTGACTGGGATGTTGTATAATGGTATCAGCCCAAGGTATCTGTGGAAGCCAGAGGACTTTTCGGGAATGGGTTCTCTCCATCTATGTGGGTCCTGGGGATCAAAGTCAAGTCATCAGGCTCAGTGTCAGTCCTTTACTCTCTGATCTCTTCAGTCTGTGGCTGGATTTTGTGTAGCTATTTTGGACTAAGGCAATGTTAGGAATGGAGGCTCCCCATGGTTAAAGCAAATAGATAAAATAAAAAGATCTTGGATCCCCTTGATAACATGGAATCTTATCACAGCTCTGAATAGAGTTCATATGAGAGAGAAATGAGTTATTTCAATCATTTATAGTTTAGGTTGATTTTTTTTTTTTGGGAACTTAGTAAAATAAAATTCTGGTTTGTTGTTGGACATTGTTTCACACATACATCAAACAGGCCAATAAATAAATAAATAAATAAATAAAATAAAACAGCAACTTCATAGACAAAAAAAGAAGGAAAAAAAAAAAGAAACCTTTTATCTTTGGCCCTTTTAACCATCTCATACAAACCAACTACTTATCGTACAGCTAGGTATATACACAAACAAAAAAGCTACTGGAATGCTAGGAATAAGATTTTTTTTGTGTGTTGTTTTTTTATAAGGTTTTTTTTTTTTCTCCTTTTGAGATTATAATGAACATGGTCACATCACAAGTAAGGTCATAAGTAGGACAGAGATCGCTCTGAAGGCTGGCTTGGTCACCTGTTATTAAAAATGGCTGACCCCCTAACAATATGTTCAAAAGTATAAAATGTAAATAAAAAATACAAACCAATTTTCCTTTTAAAGTATTTTAAAGAAAAAAAAAGCAGGGCCTTGGAAGTTTTGGGTTTCTTTCCTCCCCTGTTGCAAAGTCATGCTGTGGTTTTGGTGGGGTGGCGAAGAGCGCATGTCATCTGTGGGTGGCATTGCCCGCTATGGATGGGCGGGGCCTGCTCCTCTATTCGAAGGTGACCACGTTTAAATTCTGAGACGGGGAAGCTTTTCCTTTCTGCTGTCTAAAATCCTCATCAGTCTTCTTCTTGGTGTCAATGTCATCATCCTCATCATCTTCAGCTACCCACTTTCCTCCCGTACGAGCCTCAGCTTCCTCATCTCCATCTCCATCCTCTTCCTCCCCACCTTCTTCCTCTTCTTCATCTACCTCATTGTCTGCCTCCTGCTCCCCATTTTCCTCATTAGCATTCCCATTGGCAGGTGCGTCCCTGCCGTTCTCTGTCTCCTCCACAACTTCCTTCTCCTTCAAGCCCTTGGTGGTGATCTTGGAGCTGGTGTCCGCGGCTGCATCTGACATGGTGGGGCACGCCAGTGATCCGCTGCAGCCAGGGAGGAGAGAAATGGGAGTTTGAGGACGCTGGTGAGAAAGCTGCCAGAGTCCGCCACGGAGGGAGGAGGAGGGAGAAGAGGAAGAGGAAGAGGAGGAGGAGGAGGCAGGTGTGCCGCGAAGGTGGCGCAGCAAGCGCGGAGCAGGTCCCGGGAACAATGCAAAGATGGCTTTTCAGAGCAGCCAGTGGGGTGTTTAGGTTGATTTTTATAATTAGAAACCAAACAATTCTAATCTGATAACAAATGTGAAGGCACAATGGTTAGGGCATAAGAAACTGTAATCAACAGTAATGCTTTGCTTGTTGAAACAGGGTCTTGGGTAGCCCAGGGCAGCCCAGTGCTTCCTCAGCATCCTCCTGAGTGCTGGTATCAGGCACACGATACCACACTTGGCTCTTCTGACTTACGAAGCTCTTCCAGATACACTTTCTTGCTTGAGGTCCACAGCTGCATTAAAACACTGCAGACATTCCTTTCATGGGTGAACAGCGACTCCAAGTCAGTAACTAACACCCGGTGAGCAAGCTGAAACTTTGCCTCACTGACCTCACCCCACAGCCAGCGTTCATGCATACAGGGTGGGGGAGGAGAGGGGGTTGCCATGAAGACTCAGGGTCTGCTTGCAGCTGGGTGTGAGAGTGGAGAGCCCCACCCGGAGAGCCCAGATGCCTGGAACTAGAAGGAAACAATTTTGGGGCAAGGGGTAGATCAGTCGGAGACTGGCTAACATGTGAGGTGCTCGGCTCCAACCCCAAGAAATGGAAAATAGCAAAGAAAGCTTTTTTTGCTGTTGTTTTGTTTTGGCACAGCAGTCACCTTGTGGGTAAAGTAAATCTGTTGATGTGGGCACAGGAGGCTGTGGAGAGTAAGGGAACAGCGGACGGTGATTGGAGGAAATGTGTTTGCCAGCTGGCCGGCCACAAGCCTGTTTTAGAAGTAATCAGGAATCATCAGATGCTTAGCCCAAGTCTGCTGAGTGTCTGTGACCGTGTAAATGTTTTCTTGGTATCAAAGGGATCTGCCTTCTCTGCTCAGTCCTCCCTCCTCAGAGGACAAGATGGGACCTTGGAAGTCTGGCTGGATCCTCTCTTTGCTCTTCAGTGACTATTTTGCTGACTTTCCCCCAATTCCTTTCTCAAAACCTAGCCTGAATCCTGATAAGGAAACTGGTGTATTCCAACTCTTAGGTGAAGGTGCCGAGACTGAGCCCTGGCTTGAAGCTGCTCAGCCGGGTGCTCACTGTCCTAACAGCCTGCAATGGTGAGATTTCATTAAGGCAGAGTGTGGAAGCCAGGCCATGTGCCTCTTGCTCCTACATGCTATCTCCCCCAGGTTCTGTTCTAAGAAAGCCCCATTCTGTCCAGTTCTGCATGGCCCCTGTGACCTTGACTCTCCCACCCCAGCTTGGCTCTGGAATCACATTAAAGCAAGCCTCGAATGCCTGTTCAAAGCCGGCCCCGGCCCCTCCCAGCTGTGATCTGCCCACTTGCTCTTTCTCTTCATCTCTCTGGTCTGGGATTCCTGGCTGTGCTCCCTGGCTTTGATATTTGTCTCTGCACTCTCTGGTTTGGCAACTCACCACATTCCCCTTGTGGCTTGGGGGCTCTGGATTTTGTTGGTCAGCCTTCTGCTGTGTCCCCTCCTCCGGTTTTATGCATGAGGCCTTGCATGAGGAACATTCCCTCTGGTTTGGGCTAGATCAGAGTTGGAAGTGGCATTGAGGTAACTGGTGGTAAGGAGTAAGGAAGACCACCCTCACCCCCCCACACCCTCACCCCCCCACCCCAGTCCTGCTGTGGCCACAGTTGCTCCTCCTGTGAGAGAAATACAGGCACAAGGCATCATCAATATTTGCAGCCCAGCTCCCGCGGGGGCAGCAGTCTAATGCTCAAAACGCCAGGCTACTCGAATCCCACAAACCATTTCTGAGCACAGAGGAAGTTTCTGGTTCTGTTCCAGTTCCTAGGGATGTGGCTGTGGTGAAAACCAAAGCCCGCTGCTCAAGTAGCCTGCACTCTAGTGGGAGTCATGGAGAAGAGAAATAAAATAAAGGCAGAGACCTCTTGTTGATTTCCCTTGCTGAGAGTTGTCGGCACCGCCGGTCCCCCAAATAGTCTTGAGTCTGCCCCTATACTTGAGAGGCATGGCTGCATGCTGGACCCCACCCCCACCTGTGCAAGTTTAACACGGGCACTGTTGCCCTAAGCCTTCCTTATATAAGAGCCCTGCTGTTACCTGGGAAGGGGCAGGGGCAGGTTGCTGGTAACAGGTGTGTGCTGGAGGGAATTGGGGGGAATTCTGGCCTGGCCGAGGAAGCATATCTAGGACTTGTTAACTGGAATGGTAGGCAAGATTGCATGCACAGATCCTAACGGGTGATGATTAACAGCTTCCAGGGTGTCAGCTGGCACACCATTCAGGAACTTTGGGGAATACAGAATTGCTTCAAACCTGTGGGTGATTCCCATGCATATCGAAGGTTGAGAAGCAACTGGGAAACAGGACTGAACTTTTTGACTAAATTTAGGGTTGTTTTCATACTTTTTTTTTTTTTTTTTGAGACAGGTGTACACCCAGGCTAGCCTCAAATTATAAATTTTATTTCGGCCTCCTGAGTACTGGGATTATAGGTGTGTACAGTTGGCTATTCACACCAAGTCCAGGATGACTTTCCCCTTCTGCAAGCAGACTAGTGTTAAGACCCTGAAGACCTCTGGCTGCCAGGCCCCGCCCCCTAGACTGCTCAGGCTAGGAGCTCAGGCCTAGACCTGACCTCTCAAATCATGTGAGCAGCCACGCCCCCCATCCCCCCAACTCCTGCCTACTCCCCCAGGAGCTCCAGTGGCTGGGCCCCTACCCTCAATCAGGCAGGAGAGTAGCCCAGGCTCCACCCTCCAGGAAAAAGAAATCCCCACCAAGCTTGCCCCAAGATCAGGCTAATCTCCTACCTCAGGCTACCCTGGAAAGCTCTACCCCTCTTCCCAAGAAACTATATAAACCCTGTTTTCTGCTCAGCTCTCTGCTGCTTCTAGCAGAGGCATGCACCTGCTTGGGTTCCCCCCCTCCCAATAAATCTCTTATATGAGGCCTGTTGTGTGATTTGTGGGATTCCTTGGCTCCTGACTGCCAGGATACATGAAGTGATTACTTATATTGTTCTATTGTTAAATAAAACTCAGGAGCCAGGTATGGGGTAACAACCTGATGGGTCGGGGGAAATAAAAACCAGATTGATTAGAGAAGCAGGGGAGAAGCGACCAGAGACCTTCTTTATCTCTAGGATCCAAGAAGGGTCCACAAATCTTCCCAAGCTCCCCCCACTACTTCCTGTGCCTCTCTATATGTTCCGGGTCCTCCAAAGCCTCTATGGCTAATTCTGGTCAGCTAGAAGGTAGCTCCACCTCCTGATTCCAGGTATCAGGAGTATCAGAGTACTATCAAAATATTCCACAACAGACACCACCTTCCCATCTGAGCTGTAACATATATATCACTATGCTTGACTACTTAGAGTACTTTTTACTGTCCCAACAAAGGGACATCGTTCTATATTCTTTCCTTCTTTTATTTGGTGCTGGGGAAGAAATGCAGGGCCCAGCACAAGTTAAGTGATCTACCACTGAATTACTTTACTTCCAAGCCTACATTTATATTAGTTTACAAGCTGCTAAATGCTTGTCAATTATTTTATTGTCTGAGGGGAACTTTGATGTAATAGAGAACACTAGGAGATATTTCTGTATCGACTTACTCTTTCGAGTTATTGAAGCTGTAATTTTTTGAGATAGGATCTGACAGTGGAGCTCAGTCTGGCCTGGAAGCTGCTGTGTAGCCGGAGTTGGCTGTGAGTTCGTGATTCTCCTGCCTCAGCTTCTAACCAGGCAAAAGATGTAAGTTTTAAGGGAAGCCCAGTTTTGTGACTTTTAGTGTCCATGTCACGTTTCTGTGCTCACAAGTGTTTTTATGCTCCTCCTCCACGTGCTCTTTGATTAATACCCGGTTAGCTCATGACTTCCCCCAGCCCTTAATATCACTTACAAACTTGGGTGGTTAAATTAGCTTAGACAGTTTAAAATATTGAAAGACAAAAAAATAAAGTTAAAGAAACCCCCACTTGAAATGAAGGACAGACTAACCTGGAAAGCTAACCCAGACCAATATTTGTTCCTTGGAATTTGCTAACTTCCCCTCACAAGGTGCTGAGATAAGAAGAATTCACACTGCCCCTCCTTTCTTGTGAGTCAGCAGGTGGTAAATAGGGTCTTTAAGAAACAAAGAGATAACTGTACCTCCAGTTTGCCCAGACAAGATTAATTAGCACACCCTGAGGCCCTAAGGTCTGTTGACCCTAATAGCAAGACCATCCGGCCTCAAAGGGTCACAAACTCAATGGACAGAGGGTCCCACTCCCTCCCTAAGCTTGTGGGTTTGCCTTTAAAAACACCTGTGCCCCAGGGGATGGGGCTTCTCTCTAGTGTTTCCTGTTCATTAAAGCCTCCTGCGTGTTGCAGCAACTGGACTGGACATTGAGTTCTTAGGGGTACCTACAGAAACTAGGAGACTCCTCATTTTGAGGGTCTTACAGTATAACTAAGTTTTTCAAACACTTGACATTTCTAACATCTGCCTAAGGCAGACTTAAAATGTTACAAAATTTTAGAACTAAGTGTTTAATGCTAAGAATGTTAAATGGTGTCCAGAAAACAGGGTTTCTCTTTACAGTTCTCAGCATTCCCTCTGACCTACTCGCTCTTAGTACTAAACAGCAGGAAGCCAGAGTTTGCACTTTCCCAATACTTTAAAAGGCAGAGTTTTCAAATTCTACCCTTCAGCTAGGCAGTGGTGGCACACATCTTTAGTCCCAGCACTTGGGAGGCAGAGACAGGCAGATCTCTGTGAGTTTGATCTACAGAGTAAGTTCCAGGACAGCCAGGGCAACCCTGTCTCAAAAAAAAAAAAAAAAAAAAA